TTTATTTGTATACATGTGGTTTATTTGTATACATGTGGTTTATTTGTATACATGTGGTTTATTTGTATACATGTGGTTTATTTGTATACATGTGGTTTATTTGTATACATGTGGTTTATTTGTATACATGTGGTTTATTTGTATACATGTGGTTTATTTGTATACATGTGGTTTATTTGTATACATGTGGTTTATTTGTATACATGTGGTTTATTTGTATACATGTGGTTTATTTGTATACATGTGGTTTATTTGTATACATGTGGTTTATTTGTATACATGTGGTTTATTTGTATACATGTGGTTTATTTGTATACATGTGGTTTATTTGTATACATGTGGTTTATTTGTATACATGTGGTTTATTTGTATACATGTGGTTTATTTGTATACATGTGGTTTATTTGTATACATGTGGTTTATTTGTATACATGTGGTTTATTTGTATACATGTGGTTTATTTGTATACATGTGGTTTATTTGTATACATGTGGTTTATTTGTATACATGTGGTTTATTTGTATACATGTGGTTTATTTGTATACATGTGGTTTATTTGTATACATGTGGTTTATTTGTATACATGTGGTTTATTTGTATACATGTGGTTTATTTGTATACATGTGGTTTATTTGTATACATGTGGTTTATTTGTATACATGTGGTTTATTTGTATACATGTGGTTTATTTGTATACATGTGGTTTATTTGTATACATGTGGTTTATTTGTATACATGTGGTTTATTTGTATACATGTGGTTTATTTGTATACATGTGGTTTATTTGTATACATGTGGTTTATTTGTATACATGTGGTTTATTTGTATACATGTGGTTTATTTGTATACATGTGGTTTATTTGTATACATGTGGTTTATTTGTATACATGTGGTTTATTTGTATACATGTGGTTTATTTGTATACATGTGGTTTATTTGTATACATGTGGTTTATTTGTATACATGTGGTTTATTTGTATACATGTGGTTTATTTGTATACATGTGGTTTATTTGTATACATGTGGTTTATTTGTATACATGTGGTTTATTTGTATACATGTGGTTTATTTGTATACATGTGGTTTATTTGTATACATGTGGTTTATTTGTATACATGTGGTTTATTTGTATACATGTGGTTTATTTGTATACATGTGGTTTATTTGTATACATGTGGTTTATTTGTATACATGTGGTTTATTTGTATACATGTGGTTTATTTGTATACATGTGGTTTATTTGTATACATGTGGTTTATTTGTATACATGTGGTTTATTTGTATACATGTGGTTTATTTGTATACATGTGGTTTATTTGTATACATGTGGTTTATTTGTATACATGTGGTTTATTTGTATACATGTGGTTTATTTGTATACATGTGGTTTATTTGTATACATGTGGTTTATTTGTATACATGTGGTTTATTTGTATACATGTGGTTTATTTGTATACATGTGGTTTATTTGTATACATGTGGTTTATTTGTATACATGTGGTTTATTTGTATACATGTGGTTTATTTGTATACATGTGGTTTATTTGTATACATGTGGTTTATTTGTATACATGTGGTTTATTTGTATACATGTGGTTTATTTGTATACATGTGGTTTATTTGTATACATGTGGTTTATTTGTATACATGTGGTTTATTTGTATACATGTGGTTTATTTGTATACATGTGGTTTATTTGTATACATGTGGTTTATTTGTATACATGTGGTTTATTTGTATACATGTGGTTTATTTGTATACATGTGGTTTATTTGTATACATGTGGTTTATTTGTATACATGTGGTTTATTTGTATACATGTGGTTTATTTGTATACATGTGGTTTATTTGTATACATGTGGTTTATTTGTATACATGTGGTTTATTTGTATACATGTGGTTTATTTGTATACATGTGGTTTATTTGTATACATGTGGTTTATTTGTATACATGTGGTTTATTTGTATACATGTGGTTTATTTGTATACATGTGGTTTATTTGTATACATGTGGTTTATTTGTATACATGTGGTTTATTTGTATACATGTGGTTTATTTGTATACATGTGGTTTATTTGTATACATGTGGTTTATTTGTATACATGTGGTTTATTTGTATACATGTGGTTTATTTGTATACATGTGGTTTATTTGTATACATGTGGTTTATTTGTATACATGTGGTTTATTTGTATACATGTGGTTTATTTGTATACATGTGGTTTATTTGTATACATGTGGTTTATTTGTATACATGTGGTTTATTTGTATACATGTGGTTTATTTGTATACATGTGGTTTATTTGTATACATGTGGTTTATTTGTATACATGTGGTTTATTTGTATACATGTGGTTTATTTGTATACATGTGGTTTATTTGTATACATGTGGTTTATTTGTATACATGTGGTTTATTTGTATACATGTGGTTTATTTGTATACATGTGGTTTATTTGTATACATGTGGTTTATTTGTATACATGTGGTTTATTTGTATACATGTGGTTTATTTGTATACATGTGGTTTATTTGTATACATGTGGTTTATTTGTATACATGTGGTTTATTTGTATACATGTGGTTTATTTGTATACATGTGGTTTATTTGTATACATGTGGTTTATTTGTATACATGTGGTTTATTTGTATACATGTGGTTTATTTGTATACATGTGGTTTATTTGTATACATGTGGTTTATTTGTATACATGTGGTTTATTTGTATACATGTGGTTTATTTGTATACATGTGGTTTATTTGTATACATGTGGTTTATTTGTATACATGTGGTTTATTTGTATACATGTGGTTTATTTGTATACATGTGGTTTATTTGTATACATGTGGTTTATTTGTATACATGTGGTTTATTTGTATACATGTGGTTTATTTGTATACATGTGGTTTATTTGTATACATGTGGTTTATTTGTATACATGTGGTTTATTTGTATACATGTGGTTTATTTGTATACATGTGGTTTATTTGTATACATGTGGTTTATTTGTATACATGTGGTTTATTTGTATACATGTGGTTTATTTGTATACATGTGGTTTATTTGTATACATGTGGTTTATTTGTATACATGTGGTTTATTTGTATACATGTGGTTTATTTGTATACATGTGGTTTATTTGTATACATGTGGTTTATTTGTATACATGTGGTTTATTTGTATACATGTGGTTTATTTGTATACATGTGGTTTATTTGTATACATGTGGTTTATTTGTATACATGTGGTTTATTTGTATACATGTGGTTTATTTGTATACATGTGGTTTATTTGTATACATGTGGTTTATTTGTATACATGTGGTTTATTTGTATACATGTGGTTTATTTGTATACATGTGGTTTATTTGTATACATGTGGTTTATTTGTATACATGTGGTTTATTTGTATACATGTGGTTTATTTGTATACATGTGGTTTATTTGTATACATGTGGTTTATTTGTATACATGTGGTTTATTTGTATACATGTGGTTTATTTGTATACATGTGGTTTATTTGTATACATGTGGTTTATTTGTATACATGTGGTTTATTTGTATACATGTGGTTTATTTGTATACATGTGGTTTATTTGTATACATGTGGTTTATTTGTATACATGTGGTTTATTTGTATACATGTGGTTTATTTGTATACATGTGGTTTATTTGTATACATGTGGTTTATTTGTATACATGTGGTTTATTTGTATACATGTGGTTTATTTGTATACATGTGGTTTATTTGTATACATGTGGTTTATTTGTATACATGTGGTTTATTTGTATACATGTGGTTTATTTGTATACATGTGGTTTATTTGTATACATGTGGTTTATTTGTATACATGTGGTTTATTTGTATACATGTGGTTTATTTGTATACATGTGGTTTATTTGTATACATGTGGTTTATTTGTATACATGTGGTTTATTTGTATACATGTGGTTTATTTGTATACATGTGGTTTATTTGTATACATGTGGTTTATTTGTATACATGTGGTTTATTTGTATACATGTGGTTTATTTGTATACATGTGGTTTATTTGTATACATGTGGTTTATTTGTATACATGTGGTTTATTTGTATACATGTGGTTTATTTGTATACATGTGGTTTATTTGTATACATGTGGTTTATTTGTATACATGTGGTTTATTTGTATACATGTGGTTTATTTGTATACATGTGGTTTATTTGTATACATGTGGTTTATTTGTATACATGTGGTTTATTTGTATACATGTGGTTTATTTGTATACATGTGGTTTATTTGTATACATGTGGTTTATTTGTATACATGTGGTTTATTTGTATACATGTGGTTTATTTGTATACATGTGGTTTATTTGTATACATGTGGTTTATTTGTATACATGTGGTTTATTTGTATACATGTGGTTTATTTGTATACATGCATCGGTGCATAGGTATTATGGGGTTTATATCTTTGTATACATCTATCAGTGCTAGTACATATGTGGTTTATTTGTATACATGCATCGGTGCATAGGTATTATGGGGTTTATATCTTTGTATACATCTATCGGTGCTAGTACATATGTATGTGGTTTATATCTTTGTATACATGCATCAGTGCTGGTACATATGTGGTTTATATCTTTGTATACATGTATCAGTGCTATTACATATGTATGTGGTTTCTATGTGTATACATGTATCATTGTGTGCCTGGCTCAGTGCTGGGTGTGGAGGACTCGGCACACATTGACACCTCTACACCCATAGACACAGCAATACAGCGATCTCTTGTCACCATGGAGACAGTAGGACGGACCTAACCTCGCCCACTGCCGACAAACCCGGAAGTGGGACAGCCCTGTCTCGCACTCTCCCTGTGTGTCATGGACAGGGAGGGATCCGGGAGCTCTGGGATCGGTAGGCAAAGGGACTGTTACAGGAGCAGCACAGACAGATGGACTCAGGGAGTGACAGGATACAGGGACTGACCAGGAATAATAGGGGACTGATAGGACACAGGGACTGACCAGGAATAAGAAGGGACTGACACTGTAAGCTGCATCAGGACAGTAGTTAGGATAGGGATACATGCACTGAGAGGTGCTGTGTGATCGCACACTGGAGGAAGCTTCATCTTCTGCAGGTAACATTCTATTCTATGGTCATATATGTGCAGATCTGTTTATAATCCTACAGATGTGCTTCACATGAATACTGTGTACATTATTGTGTGTGTTGTCTGCATGCAGTATATAACTATAACCTGGTCTGGTAGGATGTTGATGATCACAGCATGTATTGTATTGTATTGTGATTGTCAGCCTCCTGTTATATGCTGTGTGGAGCCTTGTTCTATAGAGCAGTGAGTGACTCACCATAGGTTACCTGTCATTCTCAGCAGATCACTTATTTGTGTTGTCATTAAATACAGCCCTCGGGTGTGTAACATCAAATATTGTACCTCCCCGGTTGTTGTGTGTACATTACTACTTCTGTGTTTTATTAATATCACATATGCAGTTCTTTTCCGTAGTCAGCACAGTTATTGTCTACATGCTTTGGGTCATATGGTTATCTTGAAGCATGAGTACCTGTTTGCTGAGTAGAGAGGACAGACGCCATGTACTGAGCCCTGCCTAACTATTCCCTGACACTCTGCCATAGACAGGACTTCAGGTCCTAAAGCCGGCATGGGCTGTGACTGTCCTGTTTAAATTTCTGTTTCTTACTTTGTAATAATGCATGAAGCATATTTGGTGACACATACTACAGATTAGTTTCACAGATTTGTTCTGTGGAGGAACGCAGTCCAGCCACAGTGATGGTGAATGCAGAGATTATACAAAGACTGTTTGGATCTTTGGTATCTGCAGCATAGGAATGAGCTCACATCCTGCAGTCACCAATGTATTGCCATGGTTGGTGAGGACCGGCCCAGACCGCTCTGCCAGGATTAGCCATTATGGCGGATTGTAAAATAACGATTTTGTCTGTCACAGAGGAATTCCAGGATGTCACTGTACAACTTTAGTGGTATATTTATTGTTTCTGGCCATCGAGCACCATATGGTCCTCCTGTACATTGCACCGAGTGATTGGCACCTGACAAAGATTATAAAGTAGTAATGTATCCAGATCAAACATTGCCCACTGTACATTGTACAAAGATTGTACATTGCTCAGCAAAGTATTTTTTGTCCATTTTTGCCCAAGCACTGACACGAATTTCTCCAACAGCTCCAACTCTCTCAGCTTCAATTCCCTGAACTTCCTGTGCAGGACAAAATGCCAATGGACAGAGCAGTCTCCAGCAGCCATCCAATTACTACCTTGGAGAGGGCAGCTGGAAGCAGTGGAGTAGCTTACCCTATTGTGTCTGTGTGTATTGTGGAGATACACACACACAC